GAGCGTGCTGCTCCGACCGGCTTTAAAGGGTTAACTGAGACAAAAAACGATAATGTACTCATGCAATGATTACTGTGTAACTACATTTCCCTGTAACTTCAATCCTTCTCATAGCTGGGCTGTGGAAGCTGCCATGTTACCTCGCCATCTTGGGTACAGAGGCAAGGATGGACATGCTGCGTCACCGAATCGTGTTTTACGTATGTGGTGAGAACCCAGCAGAACAGTCTGAATGCTCATGCACGTGTGAGCGTCCACCGATGTGAGCGCTGACAGCTAACAGCTGCAAACACAGCAGTATCACTGCTGCCATCTGGTGGTGAGATTTCACACCCAGTAACTTCAATAAGTGCCAGTGGCATCACAGCTGTGGAAAAACAAAGACACATTTCCACACAGTATTTTCATTAACACACGAACAGATCAGGATAGTACAGAATGTTTGGTGTTCCACACGTTCCACATTATCTCCTGTGGATAAATCCTGAGCTCCACCGCAGTCTCAGACTTTTCTAACAGGCGAGTTCAGTCTTACAGGAAACCAGACCGGCTCACGTTCAGCCGACTCTCCCGACTATGGAGAGAAACACGTGGAAACCTGCGTCCACACACTATCATTTTCACTGGGACAACAGCTGCTCCCCCATCAGGTGTGTTCATATGACCCCACTATGAGCTCCAACCACTCATTTTAAGATAAGTGTGACTATTATCTTTAGCTCTGGCACAATGACACCTCTGACTGTCAGTAGCTAGCAGAGACACAAATCCAGCCTCAGGGGTCACCAGCAGCAGTAACAGGCCAACCCCTGCAGGCCCCCCGAGGACGGACAAAACCAGGCGCCTTCTGAACAGGGTCAGGGTGACCTTTGTTTGAAGCACTCTCTCCTCACACTAGCACAGAGGGTTTAGACTTTTACATAATGCAATCCAGTCCAAAAGGTTACATTTAAAATACTTACTGTGGTAACTGATGTAAGGATGTCTCGTACCTCACAATGAGCGATACACACGATTAGCAAACACAGCGTGCTGGACGAGACAAAGTCTTCTAGCTCAGCATGCAAGTGAAGACTAAGCTTCTATCATATCAGGCAGCATCTAATGCTGAGGCTGCTGGGCCTCGACCACCACCTCAGCATTTGTGAGCTCGCTGTGATGCAGACATCAGTAACTTTGTGGTTCAGTCTGAGTGAAAGTTGTGTTTTTGATCACATGTGCGTGTGTTTGTTGAAACGGTGCTGCTTGCTGACCCATGAGTGCTGTCTGTTTCACTGTAGGTGGTAACTTCTGTCTGAACCCCGCCTCCCTAAAATAAATTCAAGATGGCAGCCGCCCAGATGTTAAAATTCAAGCTACAACCATCTTTTTATACAGTCTTTGTTCATATTAGTGGCTGACTGGCATATTAGATACAGTCAGTGTGTCCTGGCTCACACTGGTGCCACTCCCTCAACCATTGATGTTATGGGCTGTGGTCACAGTGGGCAACCCTTTGAACAGCATAGACTGAAGAAATTCCCACACGGAGTGGACAGTGTGGCTGTACGGATACATACATGTGTAACACAAAGGCTAACAGATATGTTCCGCATTAAGACCTGCGCAGTAGACGGGCTTAACGTAGTGGTTCTGAACCTTGTTGGAGGTACCAAACCCCACCAGTTTCATATGCGCATTCACTGAACCCCTCTTTAGTGAAAAATAAAATGTCATTTTTTTCAAATTCAAGACATAGATAAGTTTTTTACTGGTGCACAAAATGAGCCGTGCATGTCACAGCGGAGGCTCTGCCGAACCCCTAGGGTTCGATCGAACCCAGGTTAAGAACTGCTGGCTTAACGTCTACCAGCAACTGCTCACATGGCCAAACCAACTCACCGGACAATTACATCCATGCTCTTTGGTTCTGTCCACCAGTTCAGAAGTTGTGGCGCGAGATATGTGAAGACTTATCAAAGTGTCTGAAATGTAACATTCCAACTTCCAACGGCTGCCCCTCTGTTGGTCTTCTTGGTCTCTTGTGTTCTGAGGGCCTCTGGATGTCTGGAGTTTGGATCTCCTCCATACCTGCTTCATGCCCTGGAGGACGGGGCTGTGGCCCCCCCACACCCTCTAGCAGATCATTACATGAAGGAACCTTTTAAAAACAAGTGCGTCCATGCTCACAGGTGTACACACGGGTGATCACACACAAACTACACCCTTTTTGGCTCCTACCTCAAAGCACACTGTGCTGTCGATCTTACGTGCTGCACAATAATGTTTAATATTTAGTATTTACTGTTATATTCCCATAGATCATCGTGATGATGTTTATTCTATTGCTCTTTTTCTTTGCTTGTTTTCTCTTTTTTCTTTCTCAACAGGTGATCCAGGTGATTGATAGATGTGTTTTTTGTGTTTGTTTTGTTGGTTTTTGCCTTTTATCACCGTCCCTCTTCCCCGCTCTTTTTCTTTCCCCCTTTCTTTTCCCCAGTCATGACTGTCCTGTGTGTAGCAAGTGAAAATAAAATAAACAATAAAAGCAAAGGTGAATCAAATAAAGGCAAGGCTGGGACGGTCCATTTGGTAAAGTAAATCCGTTGGGCATCTTTCTTTGCCTTTAGACAATAATTCTGATGCAAAAGAACCAAACGGGACAGACAGAGAAAAAAGAAAAAGGACCTGCGCAGTACACACAGTAACAGTACACACAGTAACAGTACACACAGTAACAGTACACACAGTAACAGTACACACTCTTCCTTGTTTTGTTCCTTGTTGTTTCCGTACTTTCTGGTTATTGTATCATTTCCCCCTGTGACCCACCTTGTGTTTCTGCCGTTACACTAACTGCGCTGTCGTGGGTGGGGGGCTGCAGGGTCACCACACACACGGGGTAACAAACAGTAAATATCACGTAGACCCGGAAGTCCTGCAGCGGTGACCTGATCTTCACTTTGTGAAGCGCAGCAGTGTTTTGAACGGCACGTTTCAGGTGACAGCTTCCACTCACCTAAGTAGATGTCCCCGAAGGACCCGCTCCCGATCTTCCTGCCCAGCCGGTAGCGGTTGCCCACTCTGAGCTCCATGTCCGCGGTGCTCTTTGACACAGTCTCCTTATCTTAGTTACGAAGCACTTCTCCTGCTGTATGAAGGGATATTAGAGCTTTGAGCCCGTCGGTGTACACAGCCCGGTCCCCTTCGATCTCTTCCTGTAACAGCGCAGGTTTCACCATCCCCTTTTTCTCTTTCTGACCACCGGAAGTCTGTAATATCGGTATGGCCCGGTACCGTGAAACGCGTAGTCTATGCTCTCCGTAGTTTGGGGGGCACCGTGATCCCAAACTTAACGATGGACTCCGATTACTCTGATCCAACTCCAGACAGCTGAACGGGTACGCGGCGTCTCCCAGTCTGTGAAAGCTGTCACTCGCTGCTGACGTCACTTCCCCTAGCAACTACAGGCAGATGTGGAAAAAACATGTCAACGTGAACTCTCGACACTTACTCACACGTCCTCATACAGACACGGGAAACCCAGACACACTTTGGAGCGCTGGATCGGTGACTATACGGAAGCAGAGCGCGGGAAGCCGCTCGCTCTTATCACGGTTCATGTTGCTTCTTTGGGTCGAACAGACAATAACAGCGTTACTGTGGTGAATGTTTGCGGCCACGCCCACAAGTCTGTTGCTGTTTTCTGATTGGCTCAATGTGGACCGACCACGGGTTTTTTTTCATTGGCTGTTAGGAAGCTTCTCACGTGGCAGGAGTGTGTTTTTAAAGTTAGGTAACCCGCCCTCACGTGTACGCCAATGCGCTGTCTGCATGCTGCATTCAAGTCCTGTCAGAATGCGTGTTTTTATGGCTTCATCCCGCCTCACAGGTCACAGGATGAGCTTTAAATATAAAATACATTTTGGGTGAAAATACTCCCTCCACGTGAAGGGTCCATGTAAAAGAAGAAAAAACCCAAATGACTGTTGACAACACAAGAAATGCAAAAATTAGCCAAGTAATGCATCAAAGTTATGGCTGAGTTATAACACCATGGCAACGTAATAATAATCATATAATGACAAATTATATATATTTTTAAAATGTATTTTCCATGGCTGACAGCTATAAAATAGATCTTACAGTCAGTGCAGATTTGAGGGTGAATGTCTGCAGCTCTGTGAGTTGCTCAGCGAGCCAACATCCCGTGGATGCTCCGAGGAATCACCCAGGAACAAAATGCTAACTTTTTACTCTCTATTTCAAACTGTGACAATAACTCACTCAAGGACAGAATGTACAGGTGATCATAGGGCCAAACAAATACAGTATATTGGCATACTTTTGTTTCTGTTTAAAAAGTCTTTTAACTTTATACTTAGTAAGATAAAGTAATGCATTTTAATTACACAAAGGTGACAAATACTCTCTCATAACCAAAACGCTGCTGCTGGCTGTGTGGGACATTTAGATATAGATCCTGGTGTAAAATCAGCATCTTTCATGTTGTTCTCAGTATATTGTTGCAGGGCTCACACAGGCAGCTGTACAGGGCTGAACACCTCAGCTCAGCGGGTGTGTAGGATATTGGACTAACGATCTTTAATTACATCATGATCATCATGTTCAATTCTTAAACTCCGGCTCCCACAGGGTGTCTTTTGTCTCTTTCCTTCACCCAAAGATGCACATGATCAGTAGTGAGTCAAAGAGCTTAAGCGAGGACTCCCAGTAGGGCTGAAAGGACCTGGGACTCTCCACCGTTTGGTCTGAGAGCTGAAGAAGCTTCTTTAACGAGAGGTCAAACTTCACGAAACATCCAGTCGCTTTCTTTCCAAACTCCTCACACTGTGCCAAACAGTTTTTAGTGCAGTTAAACTTCGGGGTCACTGGATATCTGTACACATGTTCATAAACAGTGATGCTAATAGAGCTGTTAAATTATGACTTGGTCTTATGCAATTAATTTGCAGCTTGCAAAAAATGAGTCATAAATATCTGTATTAATATATGTATGTATTACAACATTTCTGCCATATGTACGAGAAGGGTGTCACGTCCCCAGAGCTTAGTCCTGGCCATAAAGCAGGTAAAATAAATATTGAACAAAGTATCGAGCAAAGGTTTTGTACAAAATATTAAATACATTTCAGTACAGGCGTCATGTTAACAGCATAAATACATTTACTTGGAAATTGGTGACATGTTCAATACTGATTTTACCTGCTGTATTGGAGCCTATCCAGAGCTTGCAACCCCCCCCCCCCCAAATATCATCTTCAGGGAAGGATGAGATGAAGCAGCTCTCTGAGTCAACGAGTGGGTCTCTGATCTTCAAGATTAGGATCGTTGAGCTTCAGTAGAGGTTAGATGACATCCATGTGGAGATTTTAAGCATAAAGCTAACAAGTGATTGTAGGAGGAGCTGGGTGAAGACTTTGGTACTGAGATAAAGTTCAGCATGGACGCATGGCGGCAGATGATGTCACCAAGCGGGAGCATATAGATGGTGAAGAGAAGGAGTCCAAGCACAGAAGCTCAAGTTCTGCTGAAGAATCAGGAGAGTAGCAGTGAGGCCAAGATGGCTGCTTATACATGAGAGAAATATGAGAAACAGGGTCGAGGCTGCAGAAAGATGCAGGAGGCCCAGAGTCCACGACAATGACAAGGTCCCGGACTTCCACACAGGTGGATTTCCTTCATTCCTAAGAAAATAAAACAGCTCACTACTCTTTTGCAAAGGTCTCTGCAACAGCACCACCATACAAGCAAACTGCAGGTTCCAGTTTTTCACACAAAAGGCACGACACACAATCACAGTGGCAAAGGTGCCACACTCCATTACTATAGTAAGTATACTTACTACCCAACGATCCAGCAGAGACCGAAGGGTTGCCACCGCCTCAAGTCGTGACCACAAATGAGGATATCAGGAACAGGTGTGTGATTACACACACCTGTTCAGCAGGCCCCATTTCTCACCATAACCAACCCACGCACACACACACGTGACTGCTTAGAGGAGAGGGCCACACAGAAAATGATGAGCCAGCAAGGTGACATCGTCAGGGCCCACGCCTGGCTTTCTGAGGGGGCACAGCGCAGGTAGACATGGTGTTCATACTACACACTGGATTTAATCAGTTTCTGTTACTCTCTGGCTTCTTCCACAATCTGATCCTGTCCTCCTGTTATTATTGTATCTTTAACTTACAATATAAAGCACCTTGAGGAGACTGCTGTTGTGGTTTGGTGCTATATAAATAACATTTAATTGAATTTAACTGAACTACAGCTGCCTCTCTATATCGTCTCTATATGTCTCTCATAGACCTTCTTAAAGAAACAGAAGAAACTGGTAAGTATCAGACCAGCAGGCTTTCCAGTGGCTAATTAGAGCTGGACCGAAAAGCAACCGTCAGTATCAGTGATATCAGTGAGATGAAGTGCCTGCAAAGAGCCCGGAGTATTATAATAAACAATACACACCACAAAATCAACTGATTTAATTGTCGACTTAATAATGTTTACTTATGTATTAATTTAAATGTGTATTTGTGTTCTGTAAGCAGCAAACAACAATTATAAATCATCTTCAGTGTTGGACGCAGGATGAGGGCTTCACCCATTTCTGTTTGTTTGTTTGGTGTTATGCTGACACCTGCTGGATGCATAATGTAGGAACTCCGTCAGCTCTGAGCCATCTGTAACTTATTATTATTTATTTATTGCATAGGCTCAGATTAAACCCACATGCAGTTCATTTAGTGTTCAGTTATGTTTGAATCAGTGGACTTTGAGGAGTTTTTATTACAAAAAAAAGTCCAAATACTTTGACTGCCCAGTGTTTGGCTTGGCTCTACTCCCAGAGCTCAACACAGAAGCATGTGGATACGTTCACTTTCTACACTTTTCTCAGACGGGCATGAACATCTTCACATGTTTCTCTCTTGTTTAAACTCTCAAAGTTCAAACCTTTGTAGACAAATGAGTCCAGTATTATAGGATGAAACCAAAGATCAAACCGTGTTTTCAGGTCCAGAACATGAGAACAGAGCAGCTGCCAGAGGATTCAGCATTAATGAATCATTAATGAATCATTAACGAATCATTAATGATTCATTAATGAATCATTAATGATTCGTTAATGATTCGTTAATGAATCATTAACGAATCATTAACGAATCATTAATGAATCAATGGTACAGAAGCAGAGGAAGCAAGAAGAATGAGTTGAGTAACGTTTGACTTATCTGACTGTTTTGTTTTGCTTAACTTCTACCTTCCTTTAGCGTGTCCAGAAGTCCAACTTCTCGTGCGATGGTTAGCATCTTCCTCTGCCTTTGGGTGCTACCACAGGTGACTCTGATGGTGCACAACGTTTCGTCTACAGTGTTGTGCTTGTTGGGGAGAAAACGTACCAAAACATCACAAAATAAACTTTTAAGATATTCAGGCGAGAATGTAGCTGTGCAAAGTTCAAATATCTGCTCGGTTTATCAAGACGTCACATATTTGCAAAAATGCTCCGACGTTTTCGGAGATTTTTTTAATGCTTTGTGGCAACTTTTGAACATCTGTGGCATCTATTAATGTCAAATCGAGCCTTTATTTAACAACATAAGCAAACTGCTTTTATATTTAACGACTTTTCTGTTTTATTACATTTTAAATAATAACAATAATAACAATAGTATTTATTTTGTTAAAAATGTGTTTAAAAACAAGTTTTGTTGTGAAAGCTATAATCCAGATTAGTGGCCTGTTAAATGGTTAAACTCTAGGTTGGCTTTATAACTGAGAATAAAGTATTATAGTTGTCCTTCTAAAGAATTAAGTTAAATTCCACAGTTGAATCATAAGAAACATCATGTTACATATAAACACTGCCATATGTTAGATCTGGTCATTTTGCTTATTAGAAACTTTATATATTGGAAGTTAACTTTCAACAAGCATGTAAAGATTATATTTAAATTAGGTGGTCTTTTTAAAACACATGTCTCTTTAGGCCTAAACTGACAGTGCCAACATTCAGACACAGTAGTAGATGCTGTTTTTAATACTATGTTAGTCTAATTTGGTTGTGTGGGGTCTACATTGACCCTCTGTGTTGTTAGTTATACTGATTGCACAGCCATTAAGGATAAAATCAGTTTCTGAAAACTGTTCTGCTTTTTCTCCCTCTGCTTGCTTCTTCCTGTCTTTGAGGCTCGGGACCAGCACTCCTGCTGTTGGACAGAAAGACATCAGTAAGTATTTTGCTTTTCCAATATATCAGCAACTGTCAGTGACATTTATATTAATGAGGCTGAACTTTAATCATACTTTAGAACAGCCTGTTTTACTTATTGTTTGATTCGTGCTTTGGTTTGGGGAAGTTGTTTCTTTACTGATCTTTTCCTGTCTTCTGTTATTAGACTTGAGATATGACTGCACGATGCTGTTGCTGGTGACTCCAGTTAATTCTACAAGACATGCTGTGTAAGTAAACAAACAACAACAGTTTGTCTGCATTTCTTGAAAGATCACATCCCCCAAATTTAGTTTAGAGGGTCTACACTCTATATAGGGAAGTCTGCAAGTTTTCTAACAGCAACATTTGTTTTGTGCCCAAATCATTTTGCACATCATTAGAATGAAAGT